GCAAGCCACGTGGGTATAGTCTTCTTCATCACTTTGTGCTTCAAGTTCTAGCTGTTCTGAGTGCTTTATAATCCCTGTGGTGTTGTGGTATTTTGTGGGTTTGTTTTTAAGCCAGCCCAGCTTAGAATATCTTTGTGCCTAGTGCGGGTGTCCCCAGAGTGGCTTACGCCGTTCATCCCATAGGCCCAGTCACCACGCGGTGTCTCACCACCGCGCTGCCTCAACCATCCACCTCACCCACTACCACTGTTTTTGTACCCTTATTACGGGTTCTAGCATCATATTTTACGGACCACATAGGGGGTCAAGAGCCAAGAGTGTTCCTTCGTCAGTTTGCGCCATCGTAAAAGCCTCCTGCATGAGTCCACCATCAATTTAAGTGCAAATTCTTCGAGGCATCACGTGTGGAGTAGGAATGCCGCCAGCCACGAGACTCCACCACTACCATCAACCCCATTCTACAACGTCACTACAGTGTTAATGAATAATATTTTTTCATAGACACATTTGCGAGTGTTGAAACATTTTTTTTGTGTGTTTCCAGTGATTTCTTAGTGACATTCAGTGACTCTTGATTAGACTCAGTGTTCATTATATACTGTTTGCAATATTTTTTTTTTTCTTATTTCTTCAGTGTTAATTTTCGTGCTTTATTTTGTCTGTTGTGTTGTGTTCATTTTTTTTTATATACTTGAAGTACTTTAATGTTTTTCCTTGTTGTGTGCAATATATAAGCAGTATAACTGTGTTTACACTTCACAATTATCTTGTGTTCACAGTATTGTGTTCCTTGTCTAGTAATTTATACAGTGAAGTAATTCAGTAACTTGTTACCTTATATTCTGCATCACAACTCACTGTTGTCTCAGTTATTTTTTTTTCTCCCAGCATTTGTGTATTCTTGCTGTTTTTATTTTAATTCATTTGCTATTTTTTTTCTTCTATGTGTTCAACATTCTTGTGTTACTTTTTTTCATTTAGCCAGTGTCTAATTTGTCTTAACTCCACAGACAATAGTGCCATTATTTTGTTGAAGCAAGACAATTATTTTCCAAATTTTCATACCTCAAGTTTCATTGCAAGAAACTTATAGTAATGTGTTTATATTGATATGTTGTGTTCTGCATCACTGTAAGTGTTCAAACCTTTTTGTTCTGTGTTTTTGCATCTATTATTTTTATATTTCATTGAACAAATTCACTCTTAGTGCAATTTTTAAGTTCTTCTTTTAAAGTAAATCATTCTTTTGCTTGTTCAGTAAGTGTTTGCTTAAGCTGCAATTAAGAGTTAAAGTGTTCAGTCAGTTCATTCCTTGATGATATATTTTTTTTTTCTTGTAAACTGTATTTTCTTGTGTGTAATTTTTTTTTATCACTGCAACACTGACTCATTTTACAATAATTCTTGTGTAAACATTGTGTTGCCATTAAAAATTTTCTTTCAGAAGTTTTTATGTAGTGTTGTGCAGTATTTTTGATTAGTAATAGTTATTTGCAATATTGCTACAGTTTATTTCAGTGCAGTTTCATATGCTCTGTTCTGTGCATAATATTTTATTCTTTGTGTGTCATTTTATTTTATTTTTAGTGAATTGTTTTCCCAGTTTGTTTTAATTTTGCACAAGCTTTATTGATTCCATTTTAACATTCTTGATTGATTTATCATTTTATTGTTGAATTTCCTTATTGCATTGAGAGTAAAGACAACTCACTGTGCCATTAATTCAATTTAAAGTAAATCTGAGTAAATTTGATTTGAGTAAAGTACAATTTCTCTTGATTTTCAAAGTGTTTCTTATCCAGTTGAGTAATTTTTTTATTTTCATGTGAGTTCTCCTTGCTACAGTGTGACTTATTTTTTAAATAAGTAATTTCTTCCCGTTTAAGCTTATTGTGTCATTCTCTCTATTTTTCTTGCCTTTATGTCCTTTAGTAAGTTCCCTGAGAAGATGTTCCAGTCACTTTTGATTGTTCACTTAGTGTATCATGCCAGTCAAAGTCAATATGAATCAGTCCACAGTACCAATATTTCCTTACTGACTGAAAGACAATACCTAGCCCTGGAGCAATGTGTTTGTTCTCACAGCTTGTATCTGAGATTTGTTAAAGTGCTGTGAAATGTGAAGCTCAGATTAAGCTCCCATAGATTCGTTTATTACTTATTAATGTAGCCGAGTGGTCAGGCACTAGTAATACTGTCACTCCTGTCTGGATTCCAGCCACAATATCGTGCACGCAGTATAGTGTACAGTTACCTTGGGTTTCAGAGGAACCTCAGACAACCCTGGGTGCTGAGACTTCTATCCCTGCGATGGCAACTTGTTCAAGTATTCGTTCCTTCCCAGGGGATGCTTTGAGAAGAACTTTACTTGCAATGAGTTATGCCATCTGTTGCTGATGCCACAAGCCATTGCAGAAAGACATTTCTGTGGTTAGTGTACTCACTTGAGTGTTGTTATTGTCCCTTGTGTTCCAGATGGTGATGCCATCCTCGTTGACAGTAATCCGTGCATTGTAAAGTTATTTCTCGAGTAACTTTCACGTGTTGTTAACGTTTGTAAGTGTAGTTTCTTTACAGTTGATACCTCGTGTCACTGTGTGTGACTCAGACTGAATATCTGCATTGTTGACCATGTTCATTTCTTTTCCCGTGCTTGCAGTGAGAGATAGTAGATCCATTCTCCCTTGCTCATATTGCGTGTTATAGCATTATTTTTTTCAACCGGGGAGAGTCATCCACTCCACCGAGTTTGTTCATTCCTCCAGTAAGAAAGAACAGATGCCATGTGGTCTGGTGATTCGATTCCTGCTCCAGGAAGATCTTATTCTGACTGTGAAGCCACCAGCACCCATTAGTGACTTTGTAATAAGCCAAGAATTACTGTATCCAACAGCAGAGTTGAGTACTCCAAGCAGAACAGCATACCAGTTAGTAATTCCACAGTCACTTGTGAATGTGGCTGTATCTTTTGTAGATACTCGTTCAGATCGTCCTCAGTCAAGGCATGTGTTAGCCATTGCAGAAGAATTCGATCCACCCAAAGATGATAACCATTCTGCTTATGTAAATCTTACCCTCGCAGAGTTGGGTTTAAATGTACATAGTCTGTATAATTAGATGTCCAAGATGAATGAAGTTCTCAACTGTGTGTTTTGTTATCAGCTGATCAGTCTTCAAAAATTTTTTTTTTTGTGTTCACGTTCCCTCCGAATTCTGAGAAGTTAACAGTAACGATCTGTGTGCACCAGATTTGCCTTACTGTTAATTACTTCACTTTGTAAATGTATTTATTCTTCCTCAGAATCCGTAGAGTGCATGAATACAGATCGATCGGTCAATTCCATCCTTTATTATAGTAATATGGCTTGTACTTATAATTCGTAATGTATTATGTTAACACCCATTACGTTAAAACTCATTATGTTAACATCCATTATGATACCATCCATTAGTTCTAAGTTACGTATGTCTTTGTTATTGTATAGAATCAGCCCAGGACCACCTGCCTGTTCAGCCTATAGAATAGTAGTGTATGTCGAGACGACATACGTAACATGACCGAGCTGTCAGCATAGTTGCTGATCCCTTACATGTGTTGTATAGCTTATCTGAGTATCATAGTACCATCCATATGTTTTATATATATGATACCTTATTAGGCCTAGGAACCAGTTTTTGTGACGTCACGTGATGCGCATATGTGCGCGAGTACCTCTGTAACTTCCTCAGTCCACGCATAGGTCTACCAGGCAACACACGGCAGGTTGGGCTCCCCTTTCTCACATTCTGCAATATATTGTTACCATCCAACAAGTGCGTATATCTTCAACCCTCGTTATCTCCTTTCGAACCCCACGACACCCCATGGAGATCTTTCTTTCAACACACCGGCCGTATCCCACCGAGGCAGGGTGGCCCAAAAGAAAAAACCAAAGTTTCTCCTTTCAAATTTAGTAATATACACAGGAGAAGGGGTTACTAGCCCCTTGCTCCCAGCATTTTAGTCGCCTCTTACAACACGCATGGCTTACGGAGGAAGAATTCTGTTCCACTTCCCCATGGAGATAAGAGGAAATAAACAAGAACAAGAACTAGAAAGAAAATAGAAGAATACCTAGAGAGGTGTGTATATATATGCTTGTAAATGTATGTGTAGTGTGACCTAAGTGCAAGTAGAAGTAACAAGACATACCTGAAATTTTGCATGTTTATGAGACAGACAAAAGACACCAGCAATCCTACCATCATGTAAAGCAATTACAGGCTTTCGTTGTACACTCACTTGGCAGGACAGTAGTACCTCCCTGGGCGGTTGCTGTTTACCAACCTACTACCTAGGTATTATTATTATATAAATAATTTGTAATTTTTATTCAAACAAAAAATATAAGATTTACTGTTATTCCTTATTGCAATAATTGTATAAATAATGTCAACCCATTCATGACTGCATATTGGAATGGACAGTGACGTCATTTGTTTACTCTGAAACAGCCAAGCAGTGGACCATTTCTCCTAGTCTGAGCTCAATTTCAAGGCACTTTTCATCACGAAAGCAATCAAAATCATATCTATTTCTGTAATATATCTTCCATTCCATCAAATTAGACCCAAAAAACGAGAATATAACCATTAAAACCATTCGAAATTACCGCTAAGGGGTGGCTAACTGCTGAGAAGTGAACTCTATTATTTATGCTTAGATTTCTCTCATTTTTGGTGCACGTTAAGAAGCATCTTTCCATCATACATTGCCCAAGTTTCAATAAGATAGTCCAACAAACAAATGAGATACAATTCCCGAGATCCAGAGCACGAGCCCCTCACCAGTGTCATGAAACCCGCCTTGAGGTCTGCTCGCTTGTGGAAATTTTGCTCGCGTATAGAAGCAAAAAATCGTATTTGGAAAAACTTGCACGTGGACACGCTCGCAAGTAGAGGTTCCACTGTATATATATAAAAGAGCAATGTGCATGCATAAAATACAATATTGTACTAGCCTCTTTCTCGTTCCTGTTCCATGTAATCCATAATTGTATCTCCATCATGAACCTCACCAACAGTTTTTGTGAAACCACTATAGAACAGCATGCGTTCAGTGGTTGTTGTCTTTCCTGTCACAGAAAAATATTAAGGTTGTGGAGGACAGGAGGGTGAGACATGCAAAAGAACAAAATGTATACTATATCAAGTATTCTGCACAAAACAACAAGTTATGATGCATGAACAGTTCTCTATCAAGCATTCTGTGTCAGGCATATGGTATTGATACTCTGTATATCTGAGATAATAAATGAAAGGAAGCAATGATCACAAAAATGGAATGAATTTGAGAACAAAATATAAAAAGAAAGCATCAGTTGAAAAACAATGCATGAAAATATTTAGACATTAATGAAACCTTATGATTATTTAGTTCATCATAATGATTATAAAACTTAAAAAATTTTCTAAACTTTCCCACTGGATGAGTCCCACTTACCTGCATCAATATGTGCCATGATGCCAATGTTGCGAATTTTGTCGAGATTTTTGAGATCGTTTGCTTGGGCACTATTAGCTGGATGTGATGTAGACTGCCTAAAGATCAGGAAGGATCTCATTAACATATATATTTCATCACAACTAGTTCCTATTAATTAACCCTAACTGTCCAAATGCAAATCTACGTCCACGTGTGTGGGGAGGCCTCTGAAAGTAGATATACATTTTTTTTTTACATGCTTTCAAATGGAGAAAATAAAGGTCGGAGCGCTACGCACGTGAACGCAGATCTACGTTTGGACAGTTTAAGGATTAGTGTATACAGTAATAATGCACAACAGTGCTGTGATAAATTTACCTCCAAAGACATTTATTTTCAGCTATTTTTGGTTAAATATGTGGCTCTGGGAATTTACGTCAAACATGTGGCTTACAAAACTGATATCTTACGAAGCCCAGAGGCTTTTCAAAAAAATGTATTCTATCTCAGACAATAAAAATTTGAGATTGTAGTGCAGATCATCAATGAAGTTGTGGTTTGAATATAAGCAAGAAATGTTTATATGAATCATAAACAGAAGGAACACAGTGTCTTTTTCCACAGTACTATCTCCAGTCATGTAAGGGTACTAGCTCTACTGATGTTAACCCTATAAATTACCGATGGAAGGGTTCCATTACATGGTACAGTATGTAGTACATGTACTGTATTACGTAAGTATATTAAGTGCTTCAAATAAGTAGAATAACTTTTCTTGTTTTAGGTAGTAGGTTAGCAGACAGCAATTGCCCAGGGAGGTGCTACCATCCTGCCAAGTGAGTGCAAAATGGAAGCCTGTAATTGTTTTACATTATGGTAGGATTGCTGGTGACTTTTTTCTGTCTGATACACATGCAAGATTTCATTTACATCTTGCTACTTCTGCATACACTTAGGCCACACTACACATGCAGGTACAAGCATATACAGCCTCCCCTTGCTTAACGACGAAGATAGGGACCCAAGACCCCATTGGTAAACGAATTCGTCGCTAAACGAGGAGCATACTATAATCATAGTGGATTTGTGTCAACCATCTTTGATACTGTTTTAATGTCACCTTTAGACCATTTATAACATTTCTGGTATATTTTTAAATGTTTATACAGCAGTGTACAGTATATTGTAATAAACAGAATTGAGGAAATCAGCTCTAATATACATTTTTTAGGTATAAATACTGGTCAGAGAGCCTGTCGTAAGTCTGAGGCGTTGGTAAACGAGTATGTTGCTAAGTGAGGAGAGGCTGTATATACACTAGTTCTCCTTGTTTATTTCCTCTTATTTCCATGGGGAAGTGGAACATAATTCTTCCTCCGTAAGCCATGCGTGTCGTAAGAGGCAACTAAAATGTCGGGATCAAGGAGCTAGTAACCCCTTCAACTGTATACAGATCTTCCTCAACATTCGCGAGGGTTAGGGGATCAAGAGCCTCGCGAATGTTGAAAAACCGTGAATGTTTGGTGCCCCAATATATTGTAGGGAAATATATTACAATACTGCTTCCTTAACTTGTTGAACCATGAATAATCATAAAATACATGAAAACGTCGTAAATTGTACAAAATATATACGTTATGCTTTAATAACGTATGTTAATAACATGTATGTTGTTAAATACCACAGACTCCACCACCCACTGCCTCCACCAATGCCTCCACCACTGCGAGTCCCTACTACCCTCCCTCCGATCCCCGCAACTGGCAGCCAGCCCTCCCACCACTCAGTGTGGTGAGTGTTTTGTTTGTTCATTATTTGCTATTAAACTATAGAATAAATAATGTAAACCCATTCATGACTGCATATTGGAATGGCTATTAGGAAAGGTATTAGACGGTGACATCATGTGTTTACTCTTGAACACTGCAAAGAATCGAACATTTCTGTTATTGCTAATAATAACAATAGTAATAATAATAATAATAATAATAATAATAATAATAATAATAATAATAATAATAATAATAATAATAAATATGATATAATTGAAGAAGGAAATTGTACAAAAATACAAGGGAGTGGTTGACACATCGTCAGTGTGACTTTGTTTATGCTGGAGTGAACATTAGTCTCCCTGCTCTTCCAAACATTTCACAATAATTCAGTGGCTGAGGCAGTGGTATTAATAACATATATGTTATAAATAATAATAGTACATATTATTAATAACATGTATTATTATTAACATGTATGTTATTAAATACCATTGCCTCAATCACTGCCTCTACCACTCCAGTCACACTCAATCTACAAGCGCCAAACACAATTAATTATTGTGAAATGTTTGGAAGAGTAGGGAGACTAATGTTCACTCCAGCATAAACAAAGTCACACTGACGATGTGTCAACCACTCCCTCGTATTTTTGTACAATTTCCTTCTTCAATTATATCATATTTTTTATTATTATTATTATTATTATTATTATTATTATTATTATTATTATTATTACTATTGTTATTATTAGCTGTAGCAGAAATGTTTAATTCTTTGCAGTGTTCAAGAGTAAACACATGATGTCACCGTCTAATACCTGTCCGAATAGCCATTCCAATATGCAGTCATGAATGGGTTTACATTATTTATACTGTAGTTTAATAGCAAATAATGAACAAACAAAACACTCACCACACTGAGTGGTGGGAGGGCTGGCTGCCAGTTGTGGGGGTCGGAGGGAGGGTCGGAGGGACTCGCAGGTGGCGAGAAACTTAAATATGATTTGGCGGCTGGGAATTTGGTGGCTGGGAATTTGGCGGTTGGAAATTCGCGAATGTGTGAAGCCCATGAAAGTTGAAAACGTGAATGTTGAGGGAGACATGTACATTACTGAAGGTAAAAAGATAAACTTTTGTTTTTCTTTTTGGGCCAACCTGCCTTGGTGGGATACATGAAGTTTACATGGAGAGGGTTTTGGGGGTCACCGCACCCACAGCACAGTCTGAGACCAGGCCTCGTGGTGGATCAGGGTCTGATCAACCAGGCAGTTACTGCTGGCTGCAAGCAAACTGATGTACGAATCACAGCCCGGTTGGTCAGGTACTAACTTTAGGTGCCTGTTCAGTGCCTTCTTGAAGACAGCCAGAGGTCTATTGGTAATTCCCTTATGTATACTGGGAGGCAGCTGAACAGTCTTGGGTCCTGGACACTTATCGTGTTGTCTCTCAGTGTAATTGTGGTGCCCCTGCTTTTCACTGGGGGAATGCTGCATCTCCTGCCGAGTCTTTGCTTTAATAGGGAGTGATTTTCGTGTGCAAGTTTGGTACTAACCCCTCTAGGATTTTCCAAGTGTATATTATGATGTATCTCTCTAACCTGCACTCCAGGGAATACAGATCAAGGGTCTTCAACCGATCCCAGTAATTTAGGTGCCTTATTGTACTTATGTGTGCTGTGAAAGTTCTTTGTACACTCCAGGTCAGCAATTTTGCCTGCCTTGAAGGGAGCAGTTAGTGTATGGCAGTATTCTAGCCTAGAGGGCACAAGCGATTTGAAGAGAATCATCATGGGCTTGGTGTTCCTAGTTTCGAAGGTTCTCATTATCCATCCTATCATTTTCCTAGCAGATGCGGTAGATACACTGTTGTGGTCTTTGAAGGTGAGATCCTTTGACATTATCACTCCCAGGTCCTTAACATTACTTTTTTGCTGTACTGTATGGTTAGAATTTGTCGTATGCCCTTGGAGTCTTGCAGTGTCTGCGATGGAGGTCACTGTCATGACAATCCAGGTGTCATCCGCAAAGGACGACACGGAGCTATGGCTTATATTTCTGTCTACGTGAGATATGAGGATGAGGAATAGAATGGAAGCAAGTACAGTGGAACCCCGAATATCAGCCGTGATCCATTCCAGAAGGTCAGCCTAAATTCGAAACGGCCTAAATTCGAAGCAATATTTCCCATAAGAATTAATGTAATTACAATTAACTTGTTCCAGACACCCAAAAAAAAAAAAATACATTTTGTAAAATTTAACTATAGTTTTACATACACAAAACAATGATAAATAAATATAAATATATATAAACATTACATACCTTTATTGAAGACTCGTAGGCATATGGAAGAAGGCGAGGAGGGGAGAGGGAGTTGGGGTTATTGTTTGGAAGGAGAATCCCCCTCCACAATGACTTCAGGCAACAAGTCCCTCTCTGGGGTTACTTCCCTTCTTTGTCTTTTAATGGCACTAGGACCAGCTTGAGAGTCACTGGACCCCTGTTGCACAAAATATCTGTCCAGAGAGCTCTGTTTCTGGCACCTATAAGATTTGCCTGAAGTGGGCCAAGGTTTTGTCACTGAACATGTTGCAGATATGGCTTGTTTCAGCTTGGTCAGGGTGATATTTCTCAGCAAAAGCTTGCACCCTACTCCACACTGCACAAATCTCCTTAATCTCTGAAGAAGGTACCTCCTTTCCTCTCTCTTCCTCCTCTTCTGAAGCAAGCTCCTCAGCTGTGATCTGATGTTCTTCCAGTTGAAGATGTTGCAGCTCTTCAGTGGTTAGATCTTCCCTGTGGTCCTCCACCAACTCTTCCACATCCTCATCACTCACATCCAACCCCATGGACTTCCCCAAAGACACTACAGATTCCATAACAGGCGTAAGGAGGTCAGGGTCAGCTTCAAACCCTTCAAAATTGCTCTCGAGGACATATTCTGGCCACAATTTTCTCCAAGAAGGGTTCAAAGTCCTGGAAGTCACTCCCTGCTAAGCCTTACCTATAAGGCTTATGCAGTTGTAGATACTGAAGTGATTCTTCCAGAACTCTCTTAGGGTCAATTCAGTGTCCGAGATCACTTCAAAGCACATGTGAAACATTTCTTTTGTGTAGTTTTTTTGAAGTTTGAAATGACCTGCTGGTTCATGGGCTGGATGAAAGGAGTGGTGTTAGGAGGCAGGAACTTCACTGTGATGAACTTACACTCCTCAAACAATAGGTCTTCCAAGTCTGAAGGATGAGCAGGAGCATTGTCCATTACCAGGAGGCACTTGAGTGGCAATTTATTTTCCTGGAGGTATTTTTTCACACTCGGGCCAAACACTTCATGGACCC